GATTTGGCTCGAAGCATACGTCTAGACTTATCAGTTGCACTTACCAAAATAGTCTTGAGATAGGGCATGACCGCATCATAGTACTTTTGGAAATGTTCCTGTAAAAGTAAATTGTGTTAGACTAAGAGTTGCATATAAGTGGATACCATAACTAGAGCACGTGTTCTTGAAATATACCTGTGATGAATCAGCAACTGAGGCAAGAGCTGTTAAAGCTCCTTCTTGCACCATTTGCTTACCATTCTGCATATGGCACAAGTGAAATTTGAGAATAGACCATTCAAGTTTGCCAGAGTTATTTTTCATAGTTCTTAATTGAATTTTAAAAAGTATGTACACAATCAACTTACTTGTAGAAGCACAAGCAACTTGCTCACTATTCCATCTAAATATGGTACCAATATCTCCGGTGTACAGTTCTCACTGAAGTTGAGTACGGCTGAAGCAGCATGAGCCTGCAGAAGTACATATGGCATCAAAGAGATATCATTTCCAGTGCCCCTTCAGAAAGGGTATGAAGATATACTTTCAGAAAAACATAATCTCACCTGCACTCGAGGATTCTGAAAATCATCCATAGCAGCAGCAAGAGCTGGGAGTACTCGCTGATGATGCTGATTTTGCAAATCTGGACCCAAGTCTGTGGACAACTGCCCAATTGCATTTATGGCTGCCCACCTCACACGAGGATGAGCACTCTGAAATTGGCTCAAAACCATAGACATCACTTGCTCCAGGTTTTTTATCATTATCTGCATTTTTGTGCAAGAAGTTGAATACCACATTAGGAAATTAAAAAAAAAAAAGATATGTTATTTTGGGGCAAATACTCCCAGAAAAAAGCCATGCACATACTATACGTTAGCCTATGTACGAAAGAAATTAAAGCAGCCAATAAAACCCTATACCTTATTGACGAATATAATCACGGAAACAACAAGAACGTAAGACATACGTTAGAGTGTTTTAACGTCCTAAAAGGACAACGTGATTCCAGTCAATCATAGAAAAATGTTTCATCATCATTCATCACCGAACAAGAAACAAGAGTTTTGGTTCACATTCAAGAAAAGTAATTCAGCAGCAATCATGAACGCAAGAATTTAGTATACCGCAGAAATGAATAACAGATGCTGTGCACCACACCTTAGAACAACCTTCAGCAATCTGGGCAAGCGCGATCAAGGAGGCATGATGTTTCTGCCACTCAGGAGAAGCTAAATAGGAAGAGAACTGCTCATATGCAACCGGAACAATGGTGTTCCCACCCAATGAAATCGCCAACCGATCAAGACACTCTTGAGCCATGCTATAGTTGCTTGTCTCACCGGCATCCTCGTCCTCGGTCACGGCACTATGCCAAACAGGATCGTCCTCGATGTCCACAAGCATTTTCATGAGGACCGCAAACAACCGGCTGATGAACTGCGGCAGCTTCCTGACCATCCCTGGGGCACGTTCACGCGCCTCCGCAAGAGTTATCAAAAACTCGATCGCGAGATGGCGTGTGCCTTCCTCCAGGGAATCAGCCTCCGCAATCTGAAGCATCGAACCAACGACGTCAACGATTTGCCGTCTGAGGAATCGCGGCTCTGTTCCCGCCAATTCGATGAGAAGCTCCAATGCTTCCTGAGCCGTGACCTCGTTCCCGTTGTTCAATGACTCGGTCAACGTCCTGATCATCGCCGGAAGAACATCCTGGAACCTGTCTCGCTCCGTTGAATTCGACAGACACTGGATGAAACTGATCACGGCGTTCAATGCCGCGATTTTAACGTCAGAGCAAGCAACGTTGCAGTTCAAGCACTGGAGAAACACACCATGGAGATGCTTGATGTGAGGCGTGAGAGTCTCCCCAACGTACTGCGACAATTGGGCCAATATCAAAAACGCCGATTCCTGCAATTTCGGAGAATCCGAAGACACGCATTGGAAAACGAATGGCAACAACTCCGGCCACCCATTCTCCGGCAGGATCCCGGAAGCAAGTTCCGATACGGTATCACAAATCTTCTTCGAGATCGATTTCGTGTCATCACGCTGAATACACGAGAGCATCGACGATTTGAGCGAGGATTGCGTGGATAGAGAGAGACGCGGCCATAGATACGCGTCGTCGCGGGTGAGGAGCTTGCGGAGGAGCACGGCGGACATGGCGCGAGCCTCGGGGTGAGGAGAGAGCTGGAGAATGTGAGCGAGCTTCAAGGCGAGGGTATCGGGATCGGTCTGCTTGGCGAGATTGAAGAGAACCTCGGCGGAGAAGCGTTGCTCGTTGGAAGACGACATGAGAGATGAGATCAGTGTCTCGAACGGCGACATATCGGGGCCGAGGACCATCGCCAGCTGCGCTTGCTGAAGCTGGTTCGCCTCAGCGGCCATGGCGGATAACGACGGCGTAGGGCTTGTGTCTGCCTCCCTGTGTCCCTTCAGGGTGAGTCCAGAGAGAGAGTCAGCGGAATTGAGGAGAGGGAAAGGTAGAAGTGGGAAGATTGAGGAAGGAGATATTACTTTTATTTTACTATTTTTCGTGTTTTAAAATTAGTTTTTTGTCGTGCAAAAAAAAAAAAAAAAAAAAAAAACTGTTTTCTCTCAAGTTCTAAAATGCAAAACAAAGAGAAAAAAAGAAGAAGAAAAGGCAATCAAATGAAATGTCATTAGCTGGATCTCGAGTGTCATGATGATCAGTGGGTTCCCATTTATTTTATTTTGTATTTTATATTTTATATTTATATCTCATTTGTTTAATTTTTATATTGAATGAAGTTGATTAGTTGCATTCGTGCTTTTAATTTGATGATTATCACAATTCAAAAGCTATTAAAACAACTTTAATAATTATCAAACATTTGAACCCGAATTCTATGTGCATTAAAATTATTCACTATATTATTATAATAAAAAATAAACTCAAAGTAAATTTTTGCTACTTCAAATTCAATTTTGAAAATTATCAATATGTTTTTTTTATCATGTGTAAACCATACCACGATAAAAGAAAAAAGAGAAAAAAAAACATTAATTTACATATATGTTAGTGACATTCATTCATGAGTTGTTTGGAATGGTTGTAATGATTCTAAACTCCTTAATTGATTGTTATGGTGGAAATGATTATGAATTAGGACTATATAAAGTATAATGGATTATTGTTGAGAAGATCATGTATATTGAATACGATTTACGGTCTTTGATTCGAACAGGTACTAAATGATTTGTATGAGATTGTCATATGGACGAGAATTATGATTTGAATATCATGTAATGATTCACTCTAGATCTTTATACCTAACATATCTATAGTATCCGATATGACAAGTACTCTGATATGACAAAGTCAAATGACATCTTTGATCGGATAACAACGGTATTTGTCTCTCTCATTTAGAGAGATATCACTTGAACAATCGAATGAGTTGGGGTTCGACTGGTTGTATCGCACCGGTTGCGCTTGTGAGTGACGGGGTTTTCAGAACGTTTGATAGTGATTATGAATGATAAATACTGACTGGTTGATAAGTTGATGTTGGCAGCGATTGTGGGTGAGTGCGATTAGAAATGAATGGTTCGTTGCAATTGCGGTTGCGTTTTGATATAAATTATAAAAAAAATTATTTTAAAATAATTTTTTATAATAATTCTAATTAAAATTTTAGTATCATATAAAATTTGTAAAAAAATAATTTTATTATAAAAATTATTAAAAATAATCATTATTAAATCTAAAAAGTATTTATTATATATTTTTTTATTAAAATATAATACTAAAAAATAATATTAAATCATAACACTAAACAAAATCATCATCGATATATATATATTAGAGTTTTGTATAATTTTTAATGAGGATATTTTAGTTTTTTTTTGTCAAAACGCCGAAAACCGTTACCAAAACGCAAGTTAGAAGCTGCGATTAGAAAACACAAGTTTGGTTGCGGTTGCGGGTGGTTGTGGTTCGACCAGTCAGTTTTTCAATCGCCTATAACCGCCGGAAATCACAACTGCTCCGTTCGCGGGTAGCGGCGGTGCAACCAGTCGCCCCCTTAGACTGCATAAATGTGTGATATACTATAGATGATTGTCAATTATTAATGACAGTAAACTTAGTGAACGAAAAATCAATTGAATCAAATAAGGTCGTTGACTCCATACATTACGTTCAATGATGATATCGCGAGTTAAAATGATCATTAGTAGAACTATTATTAACTTTTTGTTATGAGCATTCGTAATGTCTTATAAGAGGCCATCTATAACTTATATATTAAAACTAGATTTCTAATTTACTGTCATATCGAATGAACGTATAGGTCAAACGGAATTTGGGCATTGTTCGGTCAAACTAGGGTTAGCTTGGGACGAGCAAAGATTATGTGCAAAAACATAGTTGTTGCTCGACCTAGCCGTTCAAGCAAAGTAAAAACTATTTCGAGAGTCTGGCTCAATCCGAACAATTTTCTGCTCGGGACAAGCAACTTGATGTGAGGGTAAATACTCAGTCGAACTAAAAACCTCGCGGACTGAGCACTGCTATGGAAACGGACCTAATTCGGCAAGGATTAGAGTTTTCATGTGTGACTTCAAAAGGGATTTTACCTTTGAGATACGAATTTTGTCAATTTGTCTTATCTTTAAATTCTAGAACTGAAAATAAAACCCTAACCACCGCCCAATCCTTAAACACACAAGAAAGAACGAGTTCTCTTAGGATCCCTAAGAGACCCAATTCGATTGTCGGATTCTAACCCATCATGTGGATACCAGTAGAGGACACTGGCAACCTTCAAGTCTTTTTTTTTTTGTGATTGCAGATCTTGGTATCAACAGGTAAATATTCGAATGATTATTGAATTTCCAATGATCCAAAAAGTTAATATCTCGTTCTTGAGGTCAAATGCATTCACGTTCGGTGTTTTAAGGTTAAAATTCTTGTTTCACTTTCCACTAACTTAACCCTGAAACCGGATCCACGCATGTGGTTGTTCGACACACGAGTCCAAACGTCGAGTCTCACCATCATCACATAGAAAAAGAGGAGTATGTATATATATACACACACAGGTTCCCAGTGTTGGGAGAAAACAATAGAAACAATGTCTATGAGTAGGTGCCTTAACAAAGAAGCAAAGTGGCTATATGTACGTATCCTAGGAACTAAAAACCCTAAAACTTCTGGAGAAGACGAGGAGAAAAACATAGCCAAAAAAAAAAAAAGAGATTGGGGAAGAAAACAATGTCAATGCTTTGAATGCTTCGAACCCCACGAATGTTCAACCGATCTTCTCTGTGTTTGTATCATCTGAGGGCCATATCACAGTTTCCATCAGACGTTCACGCATCAATTCCAAGTTCTCGTCTGAGATCTCTTGATAGATCTTTCCGTGGTCGCATTTCTGCAAAACAGAGTGAGAGGGGTTTTAGGGGACGGGGAAAGTAAATCAGAAGTTGTCTTTCGGGGATCTCGGGATTACCTTGATCCACTTGCTGTACAAGTGGAGACGAGTGATCATCACTCTTTCTGCCAGCTCCTGCCTCTCCTACAAGTAGTAGAGAAATGATAAAAGAAATTCATTGTTATGAATGCTATATTCATACATCAAGACAAAAAAGTAATCTGAACCCGAGATGAACTGTCGACCTCTTTCCGCGAGCTCTTGGCTCTCCTGCAAATAGCAGAGATGAGAAGAACATCAGATTTTTTCAAATGCTAATATGCATACATAAAGACAAACTAATTTAATCCCCAGGTGTTGGATCGGTTGATTGAAATTGATCCCCTAACGATCATATCTCATCTAAGCAAATAGGTTCCAGGATTCTTTTCTGGTGTTCATCAGGTATGGTTCTGTTCATTATCAGAAAAGAAAAAGGAGGGCTTCAGAACCGGAAACCGATTTCTTCTCTAATCTCAACAATAAAGAAAAAGAAGACTTTGAATACCTTGCCGAGGGAGCGGAGGAAACGCTTGCCATCGGTTGGTTTGTTTGCTACAATGTAGCTGTCATCAAGAGAGGAAAACATAAGAAACCAGTCTACATTTTTAGTGTCTTCATGTAAGGAAGAGGTTTCACAAGTTGTCTAAAGGACAGTTTTCCTAGTGTTGGTACTGATCTTTTAAGTTGCCAATATGTGAAAACTGTAAACATCACAAATAGATTACATATACATGGATCAAATTATCAAAGCAATTCCATTTGTTTCCATAAAGGACGCCAAATTTAGTTAACACAGACAGAAAGGGCCAGGCTTGTAGGATTTGAAGCCAATACAAAACTCTTACTTATAAAACCACGTATACGACGGAGGATTCATCTCGTAGAGCTGGTGAAGAACTGTCCTCGCGGCTTTGTACGTGAAATAGTTGAGAAGTTGCTGCAGAAGGGATTTACTTAGTAGAAAAAGAGAGTTTAGGAATGACAAAAAGTAGAAAGTAGGGTTACCTGAATTATGCTCACAGGTAACCAGAGAACCAGCATTAATAGTCTCATAAACTAATGATTAACTACAAACACCACAAAGGCATTTATGCTGACATGCTCGGTAATGGAAGGAGACAAAACACAAACACCATGACACATTTCAGAACTTCTGATACGTACTGATTCATGGTAGTGTATATATACACACAAAATCTAACTCCTTCCACAGGAATACTTGTAGATCAAGTTACCCATCTTGTAACTTTGGTTATAAATCAAGATTCGACAAATCCATCAATGTTCAATGCATGCTAAGGAAGAACATAAAAAGGGTTCATTCACATTCATTCGGAAACGTTATCTTCTAACATAAGAAACAGAAGAGCAGTGAAGGAGATTCTCACAGTTTTGACATCCTCAAAGCTGTCTTCGTACTGCCCAGCGACTTCACTGACAATTAGAAACCTCTTGTTCTTGCTCTGTTGCTGCTTCCTCAAGCTTCTCCGATTCGAAAACGTCGTTGTTATTCGTTTCGAGAACCTAAAACCCGCATTCGAATCAAGAAAAGAGCTTCCCAAGCCAAGGTTTCTTCCCCTATCAAGATGCATCCTCATGTGACCAGTTGCATGAGCATCCAGGCATAAACATGGACCGGTCGGTGAGTCCATCACCGGTGAACCAACCACAGACAAAGCACCCACCATTACTTCCCCAAATATTTTTTTCCCGACAAAAAAGATCAAAGAAACCAAACAACACCCAGAGAGATTCAGGCAATAATCCGAGGAATCAAGGGATACCCACCTCACGGCGGAAAATCAGCGAACACCTGGTGGGTATCCAACCAATAGACGGTTTGAGATCGTTGATAATCTGGGCAAATCAGTATGAACGAGAAAAACGAGTATTATATGACCAAAACGAGGAGAGAAAAAAGTTTTAGGGTTGTGAGATGGTTGGCGAAGGATCGTTGAATACTGACCAGAGAATATTTGAGAGGTCAGAAAAATATCCAATTCGTCAAAAGCGAAGACAAATTTGGAAAGCGCTTTGGCTTCGGCTTCCGGGTTTACGTGGACGGCCTGTGCAATTAGGTGCATTTTCTTGTCGTCTTGTGAGAATCTTCCCATATGTGTGGTGGTTGCGTGGTCTACACAAGAGAGAAGAAAAAAAAAACGACTTTTGCAGTGGAATCAGCGTTAATTCCTTGCAAGATTCCAACTTTAAGGCTCTTCAGACAAAACCCATCGAACATGGCGATGAACCCAGCTGAAGAACACATCTGGGAACCTAAACTTTTACGGTTTGTGAATGTGGGTCATTGTCGAAATCGAGCAAGCATGGAGGTGTTCTTGATTGAGGAAGGAGTTTCGAGATTTGTGATGTGGGGTGGAGAAACTGGCGCTCGCCATGAATGTGCAGTTTGAAAGCTTTGAATTTGAAATCATACAAAATATTCGCCAAGATATTCCTGACGATGATCTCTGTAAGATCACCATCAAGACAAGAGAAACGCAGCTGATCAATCATGCTTTGATCAAAGCCAACAGACTTGCTTCGATTTGATTATTACAAGAGCAGAGCCACGATGAACATATATGATCACCGATGGGGAATCTGTCCTCTCTTACCACTGGAACACATCCCTATTCCAAGATAAATGGGTTTTTTACCCAGATAAGCCACTTGGGTGGCATCTATTTTAACTGTACACTACCGAAAACATAACACATTTTTTTCTCTACGAAAAGACGAAATTACCCTTAATGAATTACGATATTTATCCATTCGAAAACAACTTCGTTATTACGACTTCATAATTAAGTCTAAATATAGTTACAATTGATTCTAAAAAAGGTGGCAAAAAAATCATCTATCTTATTTTTAGTTGTATATCAATTATATGTTAGTCGTAATAAGGTCGCAAAAAATAAAACGAAAAGGGTATTTCGGACTTTTCCAACTGAAAAGTGGGTTAAAATTGAAAAAAATTTTTTTTTTTTTTTTGGTGGTGTATACTGAAATAGATGCGATTCAAGTGGTTTATTTGGGTGATTTTACCAAGATAAATAATGTCATTGTGGTAAGTTTTGTCAAACCCACGTTTCAAGTTGAATTATTTAAACCTTTTTTATATAATTTTTTTAAAAAAAATCAATTTAAGAAAGATGATGATCGTATGGTGCGCCAAAGTTCTGTTACTGCGTTGCTTAAACAGATTTAGTTATATAAAAGCTTTAAAATTAAATTTAATAAAGATATAATAATATGATCAATGGTTACATTGAGATTTTAGAAACAATTTAATTTTAGTTTGAATAATCTATAGTTTAAATATTTTAGTTTTAATCAATTTTAACATAAAATAAAAACTAAATGAGACTGAATAATAAAGTAGAAGCACTTGATAAAAATACTGAAACCTCGTACGTCATCCGAACATCAGCAACAGAAACACAAGAGACACACATAGCACATTTTCGTAGAACCCAGTTCCAACTTCGACTTACATTAGCTGATAATGTAGCACGACCGAAAACTAAAACATGGGTCTCGTACGTATAATATACAGTTTTGTAATTGCGCAGACGTGGCTACGGGGGGAACCAGATTCATAATTAGCTGAGTCCGGGACGAGTAGCCGAGTCCGAGGCGGATGAATCTACTCGGTGATCAGCATCTCTGCCTCATCCATCATCCCTTTAAACTGCATTGTTAAAAAAGAGACAAGAAATTTTACTACTTATTCTTTTATCTTCGAATACCCGACCCATAATAACTTATACTATGCATTTATTTGCTATAAATTTGTTTGTTTAATAATCATATTTGGGTTCGGATACCACTAGTACCCTAAACCCGGTATCGAAGTATAGCATTCGTATCCTAATCCTTAAACCCTAAACGGTAAACCGGATTCAAATACCCTAAAATTTCCGGATATCCGACACATATCCACTCCTAGTTGTGATTCTATAAAAGTCCTTAACACGATAATTTCATGGTAAAACGTAAATAAGATAAAATACCAAGTTTTATCTCAAGATTCCACGGTAACAGAAAGGAAGTTTCCATCACCATCAGCAGTAGAAGATTTCAGAAAACAGATGCACAGGAGAAAGCTTTCATGGTTCAGTTGCAGCATAACAAGCAACATTGTGTTGCTAATGGCTATATATATATATATATTTGATTAAGACAGATAACTATTACCAAGACATTGAAAAGTTTTAGAAGAAAACAAAAAAGACAGATAAGAAATGCTTTATTTGCATGAAGAGATTTGTCAAATCTGAATTCAGATGGATCCAGCGTATCTTATCTTCAGACACAGACAACTTAGAAAGCATAACATGTGGCTTCCCCCAAAGACTTGTCATTTTCTTACCAGATAAAATTAAAATAGAAAACATCTCTACTCCTTTCTTTAACGACAGATATATGTTTTCTTCTTCGATTTCTTCGTCAATTTCCAGGTAGCTGAACCAAAACTCAAAGGGGGATTGAAACAAAATCAAGCTCAGCAAAAAAACGCATTGATCTAAATCCGTGATATTTGCGCAAGCACGCAATGATCTCGAACAAGAAATCTTCAAACTAATGGTCAGAAGCCTAGCTCATTGAGAAAGCAAAACCAGATCCTTTTTGGTGCTGATAACAGAGAAACAAGAAAATCTGTATTCAATACCTCGGACAATGAAACTAACTCAAATTCAGACAGATTCATCTTTGCTGTTCGTCATGGTCAATAGTCAGACCAAGTTCTAGATCCATGGAACCCAATTGAACCCTTGAACCCAAAAGCACAGAAATTTCAGAAATCCTTGCAATAAAACCCCAAAGCCCATCAAGTTCACACACATCAGCCAACAATTGTCGAGAAATCGTATGAAACCCTAAGATCAATTGTCAAAACCCTAGCGCCAATTGCAGACACGATTTCCCTAATTCATCCGTTCATAACTCCAAAATTCCCGTAAAGAATGCATGGTTCGGAAAACAATTAGGTTGAAACGGTTCGAGAAAAGCATAATCTAAGGTTCCGGAAATTCAAATACCTGGAGAAAACCCTTCCTGGAGCCTCCACAGGAGCCAGAGACGCCGTTGTCGCTGCACGAATGAACAGTCTTGAACTGATCGATATCGAGCTTCTTGTTGATTATACCCACCTGGAAATAGATCGAATCCGACGGCGGAAGATCAACTTTGATCTCGTCGACATCGAACCAGAACAAGAACCGCTTCACCTGAATACCCTTGAGGTCGGTGATCGACCCGTATCCGATCTGACCCGATATGGTCTTCTCGTAGTACACGAGGTAGTCAAATTGAATGTAACAGGGCTTGGACAAGACAACGACGAACCTGTTGTCTTCGGAGACGGTGTAGTTGATGACGGAGTCTGGTAAGAGACCGCTTGGGAGGCCGAACTTTGGGAGGAGCTCGTATACTGTGGGAGAAACCTGATCCGGGTCGGGTTCGTACAGAGAACTGGTCGGGATAACTAGGGTCAGAGAGATGATCGAGAGGAGGATGATGGAACGATGAAGAGCCATTGAGAGCGAGCGAGCGAGAGAGTCTCCGTAATTCTGAGCTTCTTTGAATTTGGAGCTTGTCGGAATCGTCGAGAATTTTTCAAAATGAACATCAGACTTTTGCAGTTAAAAGACTGATTTTTCACGCAACTTCAGGATTTATATATTTGCCCAATTAACGTCGGACAGAAAAATATATTAATAACTAAAAGAACAAAAAGATTATCCATTAATGACTCAGTCTAATTTACCTTAAATTTGAAAACAATTTTTTTTTATATCTAATATTAATATTTCATATTTAGATATCAAATCTGATACCTTTTTCATTAATTTATTTTTCCTAATTATTTGGTTTAATTTATTTATAATACATATTTATAAGTTACTCATATTTTAAAAAATTAATTTATCATAAATATATTTTTAACCAATATAATATGAAGCAAATTTTGGTTTGGATATTTTTACGATAGAAACAAACAAAAATTATATTTTGATTTATAAGTAGTTAGACAACCAATTGATTTGTTTTAATTTTATTATAATAATCCAAAACTAAAAAAAATAAATGAATTGTTTGTAATTGTGCTATAGATACAACTATTGGTTTATTATTAACTTTTTGTAAAAATTTCTTTACTGATATTATTTTAATTTTAAATTATAAATCTTTTGTTAAATATTATATATTTTTACATTTACCCAAATAAAAATTAGATATTTTTATCTAGGGTAAAACCCCTAAAAAAACCTCCAACTTGCAAAAATATATACAAATAAACCTTCAACTTGAAAAACTGTCATTCAATCCCCGAACTTGTAACTTGTCACTGAATAAAACCTCGAACTTGCAAATTATTGCTCTAATAAACCATTGACCGGTTTGACCACAATTTCAAACGATCGTTGTTGATGTCAATTTTTAAATTAAAATTGATAACGTGTATAATGTGACATCAGCAATCCGTTATTACGTGGATTTCCGATCGTTTGAAATTGTGGTCAAACCGGTCAAAAATTTATTAGAGCAATAATTTACAAGTTCGAGGTTTTATTCAGTGATAAGTTATAAAATCGAGGATTGAATGACAGTTTTTCAAGTTAAAGATTTATTTGTGTATATTTTTGCAAGTTGAAGATTTTTTTAGGGTTTTACCCTCTAATAGTCTTCCGTAAAAATGTCACTGGCTCATTGAATTCTCTTTATTTTTATTTTTATGCCATTAAACAGTTGTTGAGACCCAAATAATGGGCTTTATCTAGCCCAAATAAATAGCCCAATCACGGATATTTTATAATGTAAATTCAAACAAAATATATGTGTTACCGGTTCGTTCAAGTGGTTCATTCTCTTTCTTTCATCGCGGTTTTTTTTGTTTGCCCATCGTTTTGTTTTCATTCGTTAATTTGTTTTTATAATCAGGGCTACTACATCTCTCAGAACACTGGATAATTATGTTCTTTTCCAAACGAAAACTCGAATCCGAATTAAGAATGAGTTTTGCTCATTTTCTTATCAGTTCGGTCACCCAATTTTTGTTTTTTTTTGTTAATTATAAATTTTTATTATCGGTTTAAATGTAGATGCTCAAAAGATAAAGATAGATGATTACATTAAGATCTCAAATATACGAAACCAAGTAGAAAGGGGACTAACAGAGAGCATGATAGTCGGCGGAGCCAGATCTTGTAGGGCCGAGGGTTTAGGGCGCACCAGGCTGAGTAGGGACCGACGCAGGCTTGTGGACGCCACCATGAAGCCGTGAGTTGCGTTCCTGCTAGACGAAATATACATTGAAGCCTGAAAGACAAGAGTAATCATAAGCTTGATTTCTTTATCTTTGATATAGCCCTTCAGCCATAGCAGACGGTCCAAGAATATACGGTGAAATGAGACCGAAATATGCGTATATATATTGGGTGAGAGCTGACCAAATGGAAAATGTGTAGGGGTAGTGAAAGAACAGATGATCCACTGACTCAATACCGAGTCTCCACGTGGCAAGCAGCACAAAGGCGATCGCGATTTGGGAGCCGATTTCTCGCTGCCGACCAGACCGTGAAAGAGTGCTTAGCCATACAGCCGTGGAAGAACCAAACCGGACTTGTGCCGAGGAATCCGCATGGAGAGAGGCTAGAACATCTTCAAGCGGGGGGGGGGGGGGGGGATGGTCGTCTACATAGAAATCTGACGTTTAAAAAACGTTTAATTTTTGAATTTACAAGTTATAAAAAAGACTTAATTTAATATACCATAAAAAAAATTTCCGTCAAAAATATTAAAAAAGAATATTCAAATTCTTAATGTTGGAGGAGTAAACAGTCGTAAGCTTTTAAAGGCTGATTTAGCTTTCCAACCATAGAGGCACCTTGAGTGGCATCCATCGCGCCAAGTGTTTATCTCTTTTTATTTCTTTTTCCTCATTTAATTTTAATATTTGGCGGTTAATTTATTTTTTAATCCTTTATGTATTTCAATAAAGTTTAATCTATATATACATATATATATATATAATATGTATATATTAAAAAGTAGTCGCAATCCTATGTAAACGCATGGTAAAGAGTAGGTGCCGTCATGATTCACTCGCTCAATTATCAAAACAGGACGACAAATAATTGTCGTGTAATAAAAAGATATAGTACCAGAAATTTCAAGAAGCATGGAAAACTCCGGATGCCCAATAGTATCAGATATTTTCCTTTATATATACATGTATACACACTAATTTAGTAGTGATGAAATTTTTAGTTCGTTATTGAGAATTGTAAAAAAATTATATTATGTAAACTAAAATAAACATACTAAACATTGGTTGAAGATTTATACTTCCATTTCATTACCTACATAAAAATAAAAGAATAAAGAATAAAAACAAAATTCGAAAGGAAAAAAATATCTAGTTGCAAAAAAAAGCTAAAACATGATCCCTGTGTATTTTGTATAATGTTAAAAATATTGAATTTAATAACATTTAAATTGGATTTTGAAAAAAATCTCGTCTACTATATTGATACAAAATTAGTACATCTGTTTTTACATATTTTTACACTTGAATAAAAATAAATAAGTATAAATTTAAGTGCAGCATTTAAGTGAATAAAACAGGTAATTATTGTCTTTGGTACATAGTAGTTTAGAAATCACTAAATATCATTAATAAACAAAGTACTAAAGCATTGAAATTGGCATAGTTTCGCAATGCTAGCAGTTAATCCAAAAAAAAACCCTTAATTTATCAAAATATTTCGCATAAAACTATCAATTATTCTCTCAAAAAAATTATTTTAAAAAAACTTCCACGGAAATAAAAAAAAATTTATCGTTTTCTTTCATATAATTTTTTTTAATTTATTTGACCAAAAAAATCTCTCTGATTGCCATCAATTTTTAAAAAATAAAATACTTACACATAAGAAAAATAAAATACATCATGGACATGTTTTCCACGTGGCCACCACCCACCACTCAAACACGGAAAACTCGAAAGTTAATCTATTAATCAAAACTATTTGGTACATATTACAAAAGAATCCCTGTGTTATTGTAAATGCGAAAATAGGACCATACAATTTTAACAATGGTAGAACATGTCTTGTACTTTTAAATAGGTCAGCTAAACCTATAACTCTTATCTATCTGATAACTCAAAAATCTAATATCCACATCAAAAATAGAAAAAATATAGATATCTCAATTTTTGTTAAAAAAATTACTCATGATTAAACTGTGTATTTTAATTAGTTATTAGAATTGATATAAAATACACATCTAATCTTTTTTCTCAATTAATGATACTATCTAATAATTTTTTCATGATGTATAAGATTCAAATGCAAAATCTATATGTTTATAGTAAATTTAGATTATATTTGGATGATAGATTGTCTAATTGATTAGAGTTAGAATAGATTTTTTTTTCCAGATATATAGGATATATTAAAATATTAAATCTTATCTTCGGATTCTATAAAATCTTATAATAGATTTTTTTTTTCAAAATTTAAAATGATATGAGCTATAAAATAAATTAATTTACATTAATCTTTTGAATATTCTTTCATAAAAAATTGTATATGAACCATTTACCTAATAACCGAGTCTCTAATTATGTCATTTAAAAAGAAAATTATAATTTGTTCCACAAAAAAAAGTAAGAGCACTGCTTTGAAAACATCAAATAGAACAGGATCCGTTTGGCAAAATTAGCAAAGTTCCCCCCCCCCCCAGACAATTTGCACGATTCCTCCTTCCTATATTATATATATATATATGTATAGTGCTGCCAAATAACATGACCTATTAAAGAAGAAGAAGAAGAAGAAGAAGCCATGGCGAGATCATACTACAACAATCCATCATACATAGACTATATATCTGCCCCAAACCCTCATCTACTCTTCTTCATCGTTGTCGTCTCTTTTGTTTTCTCACTGTCATGGTACTTGAACTACGAATCAGTTCTCGAGGAGACGTTGAATCAAGTAAAGCTCTTCCTGATGCTGTCTCCTCTGATTCTTCTCCTCCTCCTCCACTTTTTCTCCCGCGACCTCTCCTTCTTCGTTCCGCTGCCGGAGCCAGACTCCATCCACCGTGCCGGTGGCTCGCCGTGGGGCGTCGCCCTCGTCCTCGTTGTCATCTTCTTCATGGTCTCTTACCAATCTTATTTTCATGAGAGATGGTTTCCCCTCGGCCGGGACTAAGTAGTTTATTATGATTATGTATGTATGTATGTATGTATGTATGTATGTATGTATGTATGTATGTATGTATGTATGTATGTATGTATTGACTCTTGGGTTTATTTTTCTATTCAGTTTCGGTTTCTTTTCCCCATCTTGAAAATATGAGCTGAAGTAGCTATTTTTTTTTTAAAAGAAGTTTATACAGGCTGTGTTTGATCGGTCTATACATGTATTTACGTATGTATGTATGTATATTGACTCGGGTTTTTTTCCTTTTCTTTTCTTTATATTGGAAATATTGGAAGTGAGCTAAAATATATATGAAACAAAGTAATTGTTGTGTTTTTCTTCTTCAATTAATGTATATGTGAATGGGTAGGCATAGTTGTACATGACAATGTGATGGCAGTTGTTTATGTCAATGTAATGTTTTTATTTTTATTTTTTGGATAATGGGTCAGCTATATTATGTTGATTTATGGGTCAAAGCTTTTTATTATCTCCTTTCAAAATGAATGTCATGACTTAGAAATTATTTAGATTTAATAGATTCAATCATATATATATATATATATATGGAAAGAAAATAGAAACTCAAATTTACAAAACTCGTTCAGCACTATCTTTTTTATTTTACATAAGCAGTAATTTGATTAATATATAACGATCAATTCATCAAATCAAATGTTGTTAAGAGTAATAGTTTTTATCTATTAAAGGTTAACTATTTTAGTCACAATGTTATTGATTTTCAAATTTGAAATTGATTCTATAGTTATTCTATATGTTAATAGGGAAAAAGACATGATCTTGAGTTATTTTCATTGCAGACCCATCACGACTTCTGTTGTATGTTGTAGCATCTTCTAAACTATGATGATAGATGATATTGAATTCATAGTTTTCATTTATCAATTATTAGAAAGTATTGAAGGATATTATTACTAGAATATTATTATTAATATTGTTATGATTTACGTTAGATATTATATCTAGAATATTCTATTATATTTTGTTATATATTAGGATGTATTCTTTCAATTATCAATATAGAAAAATATTTTCTATTATGGTATCTGTTTTGGTTTTGTTTTAGATATTTTTTTTATCAACAATGGTGGTTGAATCCCAAAGCGACATTGAAGATGATGATATATACTAAATCCAATCGTATTATCGTTTTGAGTATCATCTTGCATTTATTTTGTTTTTTTTTTCTTCTAGTTTTTTTTCGACAGCAGCGTTCATCACTGTCAACCCTAACCGATGTACTATTTTTTTTTTCCGATGACATTTATTTATCGACGTCAATCCTAACCATTGTGAGATCTTTAAACCTGACTTTTAGCTCATTTCGATTGGAAAACTCCGATCATCGATCTGCGTATTTGCATTATTTTTTTTTCTTCTAGTTCTCTCCAACGACACTACTAAACTATCTTGTATTATGCGTCACGCTTTTTGCATCTTTACACTACAAGAAAATAGTTATATAGCGACGGAAAAATCCGTCGCAAATATAAAGGAAATCCTTCGCAATTAAGAATTTGCGACGGAATGCGACGGATTTATTTCCGTCAGTATAGCGCTGTCGCAAACGTATAACGGTCGTTAATCCATCGCATTGCGATGCAAAATGACGGATAATTCCGTCGCAATTTGCGACGGATTTTTTTCTGTCGCATTCCGTCGCAAATGTTTTAAAAATTTTTAAAAAAAAATATAAAAAAATTATATACTATATATACACATACATATATACATTTTCACACATACATACATTCATACACATACATTACATACATACAAATATACATACATATACATACATATATATACACATATTTTCATATACACAAACACACATTACACATACACATACATTACATACATACAAATATACATACATATACATACATATATCATATATTTTCATATACACAAACACACATACACATTCACACATATACACATATACACATATATACACATACATAAATATTCATACACATACACATTTCACAAACACATACACATACATATAAACACACACATATACACATATTCATATACACATACAATCACATATACATACACATACATATTCACATTCACATATATATATACACATACACATTCATATAAACACACACATACACATTCACATATACATACACATTCACTTACACACATATATAAACACACACATACACATTCACATATACATACACATTCACTTACACACATATATAAACACACACATACACATTCACACATATATATACACATTCACTTACACACACATACACATACATAAACACAAACAAACACATCAAACACATACATATATATATACATAAATACATATATATTACCTTATGGGAGAAATTTGGCGATCTTTGGAGAGATTTAGAAAAAATTTGGCGATTTATATTTTTTTCCGAAAATTTTTGAATCTGACGAAGAAGATGACTCGTGGGTTTATATTGCGTTTTGCGACGGAATTTTCCGTCGCAATCCGTCACAAAATGAAATTTATTTACGCGCCCAAAATTCAAAAAATTTCGTCGAAAACCGAAACTAAATACATTGCGACGGAATATTCTGTCGCAATCCGTCGCAATTTTTATTTTCCGTCGCAAATCATCTATTTCTTTGTTGTGACAGAATTATACGTCGCAAACCGTAGCAAATTGCGACGGATTTTGCGACGGATAATTTTTTTCCACGTTCTGACGTAAAATCGTCATATTTCGTCGCAATTTTCTGTGCGACGGAAATTTCTGTCGCAAATTCCGTCGCTATATGCAGGTTTTTTTGTAGTGTTATTTTTAATTTTTTTTTTCAGCCTAGCCGCTATACACACCGCAAATTTTTGCGCTGTCGACCTCATTGTTGTGCAATCCAACTCGCGCATATGCACCTCACATTCGTGCCACATCAGTATCTGAGATTACAGCTCTCAGACTCTTCAAACGATATCAAGCAACACCAACTCAAGTTTGAACTACACCACTATATGGAAGATGATTCGTTTAATACGATCACAATTTCAATTTTCAGTTTTTATGTAATAAGATTGAATTCATCATAGATGATTCACCTTGAGGGAGGATATAGAAAGATATTATTCCTAGAATATTATCATTAATATTGTTATGATTTACCTTAAACACTACCAAAAAACACGCGATTTTCAACGGATTTATCCGTTGAAAATTTTTCAACGAAATTTCAACGAATTTCAACGGCATTTCAACGATAAAATCCGTTAAAATTTCGTTGATAATTTCAACGGATTGCCGTTGAAAATGTCGTTGAAACATTTCAACGAAATTCCAACGGATTTCGGTTGAAAAATTCAACGGATTTCGGTCGAAAAAATCGGTTGAAATTTTCAACGAAATTTTAACGGATTTTATCGTTGCAATTTTCAACGGATTTTGGTTGAAAACATCGGTTGAAATTTTCAACGGAATTTCAACGGATATCGGTTGAAAAATGATATTTCAACGGAAATCCGTTGCAATTTTCAACGGATTTCGGTTGAAAAAATTGGTTGAAATTTTTAACGGAATTTCAATGGATATCGGTTGAAATTATGAAATTATTTACGAAATTTAGAAAAATTTTGGTTGAAAAAATCGGTTGAACTTTTCAATGGATTTTGTTTGGAAAATCGATTGGATATATATACATATATATATATTGGTATATATAAATAATATTTTATATATACGTATATATGTTTAAACATGTATATATATAAATATAAATATTGATACATATAAATATGTATATATTGTATATATATATGTATTTTATATTATAGTGATATGTTAGATACTGTATATATTATATATATGAATAAATATTTATATATATATTTACGTATAAATATTTTTATGTGTATATATGTATAATTATTTTTAAGTATATATATAAATGTTTATACTTGTATACACATATGTATAAGTATTTTTATATATATATATATGTATGTATAAGTGTATATATGTGTTTAACTATTTATACATATTAACATTTGTATATGTATATGTATTAATGTTCTGTTATATCGGAAATTTAACTTGGAGCAGTTGGAAGTGTGTTAATCAGAACTGTGTTGTTAAGCGTGCTCGTGCTTAAGCAGTGGAAGGATGGGTGACCTATTGGGAAGCGGATTTCGAGTTCCGATTTCAGAGTTTCTGAAGTCAAATTGGATATGGAGACAAAGTTCAGATTAAGTCGGATTCGGGTTAAGGGTCGGGGTCAAGTCTGTAATAACCCGAAACCTGATTTGAATATTTAATTATTAAAAATGAATAATTAAATAGAGATATCACGAAATCACCAAAAGTGATGATACAATATCGGGGAGAGGCACGAGGATCGTCACGTGCGGAAAGGACCGAGAAAGAATGAAGAAAAGGAAAAAGAAAAAAAAATAGGGCTGGTCCGCCGGACCAGGAATGGTCCACGGCGGACCAACCGCTCAGCCGGAGTGGGGACTGGACAGCGCGGACTGGGAGAAGTTTTCGAAAAAAAATAAACTGACCCCGGTCCGGCGGACCAGGAAGTTGGTCCGGCGGACCGGGAATAACAGATTCCGCAACTTGTCAACTTGCCACCTTGGAACGCGGAATTCGTCGGATTCCGGGGCCCGCTTGCCGTCCAGCCGTCTCCCACGCCTCGAGGACGTTGCAGGCTCGCTTATGGGCTTGGGCTTGAGCCCACGAACTCCCTATCTCGCGCCATAAACCTCTCCTAAGCTGGGACTTAGGCATTTTCGGACAGAAACAGAGGAAGAAGAAAAAGGGGAGAAAGGGAGATAAAGGGGACGAACCAGTGCAAGGGGAGCTCGGGGAGACCAAGAGGGACGTGCCCAGACGTGTCCCTAAGCTTCTCACGTCATGTGGAGCCACGAGGAACGCACACAAGCTCGGACAAACTCAAGAACAAGATGAGTGGCTTGAGTTGGATTTGTGAGATCTTGTTCTCAATGTGTGATGGTCCAAATCGAGATTTCATTGCGTGTTTGAGGTTTGAAACATGTTTAGGGATGTCAAACTGTGTTTTAGTAGCATTTAGAAGCAATCCCGAATCGATTCGGGAGAGAAAACTCGAAACAGAATCGGAGAAATCGCGAGGGAGAAGAAAGTTCCAGTCCCGGTCCACCGGACCAGGCGTGGTCAGCTCCGGACCGAGACTGAGACAACACGCGAACTCAGACCGGACCAAGGAAACGGACCGGACCAAGAGAAAACACGTACTGGTCCGCCGGACCAGTCCTGGTTCCCCGGACCAGACGTTTGTTGGGTTTCCTGGGATCTCATGAGCGAATCTAATTCCTTAGAGATCGATTCTAGGGTTTGCGCAGCGGATATAAAACAAAATTTTTAATGAAACCCTAGAACCATGCTACTATTGAATCATAGAAA